TGATCATGAAGAAGTAAAAATATATTTTGGATAATGTGCTCAATGTAACTATCATGAGAATCATTATTTAAATAAAATTGTTATGATTAGAAATCCTTTGTACTCTTTCCTCCATGGAGCCATTGCCATATTCAGTTGATATTAAAGGTAGGGAAATTTTATTTATTTATATTGAAGAGCATCTTCTAATGATTTATTGGTCTACTGTATTTGTGTCTTCCATAACAATTATTCCCTGTTGAAGCTACCAAGATATATCTATAACTGTCTGGTTATATCACTGGAATATCTCAAATCATAGTGGCAAATCTATAACCCTGAATTTTTTTGCTGATTTTTAATTAAGTAGCCATATAGCACTAGTCAAGTAGCACTCATATAACAATAATCTATCAAATTCTGTAGACACTCAGTGTCAGAAATGTGGAAAACCAGCAGTTTTCACCAAAGTTTGTACAAGAGTAGATGCTCAGCAAAGTCAGTTTCTAAGCCTCAGTAAAGTCAGCAAACTCAGTTCAATAGTTAAGTGTTCATTAAGTAATTATACATATTACTTGATATAGATTTAATATATAACTACATCATATAATATATAACTATGTATCTATATCTACACACACATACTGCTGCATAAGACACTCTAGACCATAAGACTCACCTAGCTTTTGGGAGGGAAAAAAAGAAAACAAAAAATTGTTTTGTTTTGACCACGAAAATCTTGCATGGCTTTGTCTAAATCTTTTAAGTCTTATCTTCAGTTGCCTCTTGTAACATGCTGTTATACAGAATAACAGAGCTGGAAGGGACCTTGGAGGTCTTTTAGTCCAGCCCCTGTTCATGCAGGAAAGCCTATAGCATTTCAGACAAATTCTTATACAATCTCTTTAAAAAACATCACTGTTGGGGAGGGAAGGTAGATAGGTAGGTAGGTAGAATAGCAGAATAACTAAGTTGGAAGGGACCTTGGAGGTCTTTTAGTCCATCCCCCTGCTTAGGCAGTAAACCCTACAGCATTTCAGACAACTGCTTATCCAATCTCTTTTTAAAAAACAACAGTGTTGGAGAAGGGAGGGAGGGAGGAAGGAATGAGGAAAGAATAACAGAATAACAGAGTTGGAAGGGACCTTGAAGATCTTATAGTCCAGCTCCCTGCTCAGGCCCGGAAATCCTTTATCGTTTCAGCCAAAAGCTCTTGAAGCTACGGAAGAAATTTCCCGTAGGTGTGGCTGTCTCCACAATGGATTTTTTCTCCCTGGACCCAGGTCTATCCTGTTGCTGTTGCCACTCACTATTGCTGCTGCTCACCACCACTATCTATCAATGGTTGGATTGGCCTCCCAGAATACCGCCGATCAGCTGTTCCAGGGAGCAGGGATCACTGGAACAGTTGATTGGCAGTATTCTGGGAGGCAGATGCAATTGCCAATAGGCAGCGGTGGCAAATGGCGGTAGTGAGCAGCGGCGAGCGGTGGTGGCAAGTGGCGGTGGCACTCTGAGACTATGATAAGAATGTAGAAAGATGCCAGTGTATGGGAAATTGGCAGGCAAATCATATATAGCCCTTTGATATTTTGTGCTGGAGCCTAGGTGAAGATTACAACTAAAACTATCCCCTTCCACATAGGTTTAATGATACTCAGTCTTATGTCTTTATGCAAGATGACAACTAGATTGCAGCCCCTATCCCAATTGAATTCAAGACAATTATAAGCACTTGGATGTTTTGAGAGACTACTCTATAGTTTTCAATGTGGTAAAGAAAATAACTGTTACTGTTTTGATCTGCTGTGCACACATGTAATATAGTTTATACATTCTTATTTTATACTTTAAAATTGTGAACTGTGGCAGATAACAAAAGGATAGAAAAAATGGTACCTAATAAGTGTTGATTAGCTGTTAGGTACACACAATTTTCAAAACAGAGCTGAGTTGTGTCAGTGGAGTATGTCATGCTTCTGGAAATAATCCAAAGTATATTTCTGTAAAGAACTCTTGGTTTTCTATCCATATTTGCACAAGGAAGATGTAAGGTAATTTCTAATTGACTAAATATAAATTCACTTATTAATTCTTGGCACCGAACACTATGAATTCAATTGAGTTCTCAGAGTTTACGTTTTGATAAGTAGTTTATTAAAACTGGAAATCACGTGACTCCTGTGATGCTAATTTGTTTGATTTTTTTATTTGTGTGCTGACTCACATTCAGATTTAATGCAAGATTTAGGAAGACTGATTTACGAGAAAACAAACTGAGATCAGAAGTTAGGAAAATACGTAAGATCCAAGCAGTCATGCTCTTTTTGTCATATTAATGTTTTAAACTGTACCATGTTTTTTTCTTCTTGTGCATTATGTATAGCATGGAGGGATAAGAAGTGTTGCCATATATTCCAAGTATTTCCTTGAGTTGAAAAGAGTATTAATAAATGTAGCTTCATTTTAAAGGAAAAACTACATAATATTTAAGAATGATAAACAACAAGTTATGACTGCATGAAGGTATGTTGTGCAAATACTATCTTAGCTTATCTCTTAGAATGGTTATTTCAGTTCTAAGGAATTGATTTCCACATAAATCTTTCCCATACCTGCTATTATTAAAATTAAAATGAATTCAACTCAGAAGTATCCAAAGATTTGATTGATTGGGACCCACCATTATGTGGTTTCCCCCTTGGGAATCTCTGGTCTACGTTTATCTGTGTCTCACCAAGAATCTCTTTGAAATCTCTTTGAAATTAGCAGTGTTAGCACTGCTGCAGTTTAATCCAGTCTCCTTGCTGCTGGATGTTCTCTTCTCTTTCCTTCCACATTTGCCAGCATTATGGATTTTTAAAGAGGGCATAATGCATCCAAAATAAAATGATTTTAGCCCTTGAATGAGAAGTCTGGATTGTTCTATAATTCATTTGTTTATTTCCTTGACCATCCACAATACTGTAGTCTCAGGAGTATTTTTCAATGCCAACGTTCAAAAACGTCAATATTGATTTTGTCCTGCTTGTCCATCTTTTACTTCAATAAAGTACTCAAGGAGAAGCATTGCCTGCACAATTCTGAATTTTGTATGTATGAACAGGTCTTGGCATCTGAATATTTTTTCAAGGCCTTTATTGCTCTACTAAATACTTCTATGTGGGATGTTTTTCGGTTGCTATTTCCTGTACTATTGACAGACAATTCTAAAAAACTGAAACTATCTATTATTTCAATATCTTCTCTGTCAGTTCTAAAGCTGATTGCTGTACCTTATTACATAATTACTACATTAATAAGTACCTTATTAATTTGGTACTTTTTATATTTAATTATGGCACCATTTCTTTCTGCACTCCTTGACATTTATCACTACTGCTTCCTACTCTTTTGTATTTTTAGTTGTAAGAGTAATAACTGTTATATGTTTTATAACTTGAAAAGAGAGTGAATAATTAATGCTTTGATTAATAATTAGTGCACGAAGCAAAAATAGTTAATGGCCAGCCTGCAGTATGCGTGTTCCAGGGATTGCATTGATCCTACTCGCCTCAATATTGCTAGATCTACTTTAAATTGAAGAAACAGTGCTTTCTTCTTGATCAAACTAGTTTAGGTTACGTAATAAACATACAGTATGTAATCAATGAAGATAAAAGATGGCTTATCTGAGCAAGCAAAGATTTTAAGTGATTTTTTTTGTTTGCTCATAACAGGCAGTTTGCTTATTAGTGAAAATATAGGGCTGTAAAATAATGCAGTTAAATTGGTACTACTCTGCTACTGCAATCTTTGTTCTGTCATTTCTTATATGAAAAGGGAAGAAAATGTATTTGGAATATTACTTTAACAATTCTACTGGCTAGATATTGTAAAAAGAAATAACATTCTTAGCTGGCACAAAAACTCTTAAAGTGATCCTTATTAACTGTATGTTATTTATGGCATCCTCCTAAATGTTATTCTTTCCCCATCTTTTCATTAGATTTGCTCAAGTTTTATTTTCACATTTATTTATACATGTGCTTTAATATACCTAAGATAAATGTATGGATATTGCTGACAAATATAAGAACATTATTCTAAAAAAAAGTTTTTATATTTAATAGTTGACGATGTTATGTGCTTCTGAGCGTATGATCTGGAAAGATATAAGTGTAGTTGAAGATTGGTTTTTTTTTAATTGGAGGGGACTATTTTGATGTATACACTTTTTAAATAAATCTAGGTGGTAGTAGCCCTGAATGTATTTGAGAGGTTTTTATCATATGAATGGCTGTAATTTTTCCTGCTGCTTTATAGTAATTTAGTAGACATACCCACAAATAAAACATGAATGTATAATAGGACAGCATTACTGTAAGTAGTTCGACATTTTATAGCCATATCTCTGTTATTCAAGTATTTGAAAGTTTAGGTATTTTATGTTATAATATTTGATTGTATTTAAAATATTCTTTTAAATCTTGTAGATGGGCATGCAGGTCATAAAAATTTTAAAGGGGTAAACAAGCATTTTACCTATACTGACCCCAATCTGACCATAACATATAGATAGATTTCTGCAACGCTTGAAGAGAATTGTTTATTTAAAATAGATAACTTAAAAATAGTCTCTTAATAGAAGTATATAGAGGAGAATACATAAATAAGGTGTTAATTACAACGTTGAATCTTCTTTTTCTTTTTTACCAATCAGTCTAGATTTCATCATTGACACGTCTATGTAGAAAAGTAGAAGGATTTTAAAATTAAAGGCTGTCACTACTGACTTAAGTACAGAAGATACATGCCATCAGCAACTTTTAATAGGATCAAAATCTTTTTCATTATGTTTGTATATAATAGTACAAATTGGCAGTGAGCTAAATATTCTCTTTCACAATTTATATTTTGATCATGTTGTATGTAGGCATAAATAGTTCAGTTCCAGTATTAAAATCAAATTCTAGCTGAAAGATAATGAGAATACTAAAATTGTGCCATTAATGTTTATATTCTTTCTTTTTATTCTACAGAATAATAGTTCCTTGGTTTGGTGTCAGAATCACAAACAATGTTCAAAGGTATGTGCTTGCCATATTTATTCATCATTATATTTTTGGGTGCGTATGGACTTCTATATTTTTTCTCAGTCTAGCACTATAGTATTTCTGTATTGTAACATCATTCTTGGAATTGTAAACAAAAAGTACTTTACTTTTCATATATTATCGCAGTTGCTAACAACTAATCATTACTACTTGTTCATTGATAAGATTTTGCAGTAGCAATTTATATTAATGATATAAAAACTACCTTTAACTGACTGGCTTGATAGTTTATTTTAGCTATCAGAGAGACTTAAAAACTGATTAGTCATGGCTAAATTGAACAAATCAATCCACATTCACCACTTTTTGGGGAGGGCAGTGGGGAAGCATTTATTTGATTTATATCTAACATCTCTGTCCAAGCATGAAATGCTTTGTAACATAAACAAGTCACTAAAATGTTCCTAATAATATTTATTCTACAAGCAGTGTCTGTCAAGGAAGGAAGTTAGCAACATGTTTCTCTAACATTCCAAGGTCTGTTTTGATGTTGAATATTTATTCTATTAGTAATGTTATGTCCTCAGATCTTAATTTCTTTGCAGATTTTATTTGGTCTTACTGGTACCTTCTGTGTGTGTTTTGACTTTTTGACCTTCTGAAGATTAGAGTGTAAGTGAACTAATAACCATTTGATTCCACTGGAAAAGCATCTCACTATGATCCCTGAAGAGAAGCAACAATGATTCATCAGCTTTAGAGGGTCAAAGAAGAATTATAGGACTTGGGCACTGACTGCTCTTTTCATTCACATACATTGCTGAGTGCATTTATCCCTTCTTTATAAGCCATTAGAACTATGTGCAGAGGAATTGGAGGGACCACTTATTTTAGTCAAACTTTCATAATGGTACAAAGCAACATCCTCAGATTTGTGTTGAATAGTTGACTTTATAAAGTAACAATGAAAACCAAAGGCCAAATCACCAGCAATTTTGACACATATATCTGATTAAAAGATGAATTATTTTTAGAAATAGATAATCCATGTAAAAAGAAACTAGAAATATCACAATTTTACTAGTACTGTATAATTTTTTTCTGGACAGCACTTTTAATTATTTGTGAGTTCCTACTGAAATATTTGCATGCATTCTAAATTCAAGATTACTTAATTATCTTGTGACAATTTATTTAATAGATTAGGTCTATTTTAAATTAATTTTAAATGAAATTAATTGTCGCATATGGGATTTTTAGACAAACGTTTGAGAAATAATGCACAACTTCATCATTTTGGAGGACAAGTGTAACTTTGTAAATTAAAAAACATAAATTATTACTTTTACAAAGTGATGATGTGGACTATGATAATATGATATTTTGATGACTCTTAGTGACACACTCTTTTTTATCTATATTCTTATTTTATTCTATTCAAGACAAGATTAAAATGCAAAATACAAAACTCCAAACCAAAAACCCAACAGAGAACGGAAAAAGAGATACTATTTCTTGTTCCCAAAAACCTATTACTTGCAAATTAAAAAAAAGTTTAGCAATTTATATTGCTTCTGTAATTCTGTCATTACAAATAACATTTTTATTTATAGTTTCTATTCATTGTTTCTTGTCCTGCCTTCTGGTGCTTTGGAAAATAAGTTGACCTCCCGCCCTCCTTTTTGTGGCAGCCCCTCAAATACTGGAATCCTGCTGTCACCCCCAGCCCTTTTTTTATCTAGACTAGCCAAACCAAAATCCTTCAAGTATTCTTCACATGTTTTAGTCTCCAGGCTTTTAATCAGTTTAGTTACTCTTTTCACTTTTTCCAATGTCTCAACATCTTTTTTGTAAAGTGGTGACAAAAACTGGATGTAGTTTTACTTATATTTTATAAAGTGGTACTAATACTTCACGTGATTTTGATTCTATACCTCTGTTTATACAACCAAAAATTGTATTAGTTTTTTTGGCTGCTGCTGCACACTGCTGGCTCATGTTTAAGTTATCGTCCCCTTTTATTCCCTCAACTAAGTCTTTTATGAAGGTATTGGGCCTAAGACAGAACCTTGTGGTATCCCACTGCTTACTCCCCTCCATTTAGATGTAGTACCATTAAGGACTACGCATTGAGTATGGTTTGTCAGCCAGTTACAAATCCATCTGGTGATGATGCTGTCTATCCCACATTTTTGTAGCTTATCAAAAAGTAGATTGTGGTCTGCTTTGTTGAAAGCCTTGCTGAAGTCTTAAGTATACTATGTCCACAACATTTTGCTGGTCATCTTATTTAGTCACTTTGTCAAAGAATGAAATAAGATTGGTTTGGCAAGATCTTTTTTTAATAAACCTGTGCTGGCTTCTACTTATAACTTTATTTTGTTTCTATATGCTTGTGTGTCATTCATCCCTATGTGAAGGAGGAGAAAAGGATAGTAATCTGTGGGCCTAATTATTTTGGTCATGTTCTCAGTAACATCTTTGATTTTTGCTCCGGGAGACAACTTATATACCGTGTTTCCCCCAAAATACGACATGTCCTCATAATACAGCCATGCCACATTTTTCTGGTGGGCAAAAATATAAGCCACCCCCGCATATAAACTCCCTGGACAACCCCCCACCTCCGGCCAGGCAGAGCACCACTCACCAACCTAGCAGTATCCTGAAGGTGCCAAGCCGCGGGTGTCAGCACCTCTCCATTTAATAATCAGGAAAGAAAACCACGAGACTCCATTTGTGGAAATCAAATGTGCTTTTACTAATTAAAAATGGTTAAAGAGCGGTTGCA